TCTCTCTCTCTCTCTCTCTCTCTCTTTCTTTCTCTCTCTCTAGCTCTCTCTCTCTCTCTCTTTCTCTCTCTCTCTCTCTCTCTCTCTCTCGCTCTCTCTACAGACAAATTGACGGACAGGATAGCAGGTAGCGGGAGACAGTTAGACCTATCATGCAACTTGTCATATATTCTTGTTTGTGGGTGAAATATATATATAGGCTCAACCAACAAATTCCAACAAAACTCACTATATAGCCATTAAACAGAATGTGGACACAGCGTCGAAGCGCGTTAATTTCAACGATAATTTTCTTTACTGTCGTTGTGGTGGATGTTATATATTGATATAATAATTAATATTACTATTACCATTACGATTATTATTATTATTATTATTATTATTGCTGTTGTTGTTGTTAGTAATTGTAGTGAAGAATCGGCTTGAATATTTGTCAAATTGTATTTGGTGATATTAATTGTACAAAATGCATACTCACAGTGATATGGAATTTTCATGACAGAATGATATTAGTTTGTGTGTGTGTGTGTGCGTGCGTGTGTGCGTGCGTGCGTGCGTGCGTGCGTGTGTGTGTGGGCGCGCGCGCGCATGTGTGTACATGCATGGTTTGAGGAAATAAAGATCTATATTGCATGTCGTTTGTTTACCGCTCTTCTACGGCTGCCTGAGAGCAAATACGAGCAAATCTGTTTACGTATTTTTATTCTCCGTTGCAGTTTATTTAAGAGCGGACGTGTTTTAATTTCGTTGTCGGCCGCGCAGCACGCAATAGTGGCCCGTGCCAAAAAATGTCCGTCACGTCTCCAAAGCTTCGCCTGCACCGCCGACGACGGCGGCGACCCGCTTGCCTGTGCTTACTGTTTAGTTGAGTTTCGCACGTTCTGCGTGTATAACGCGCGCCCGTGAATGATTGCAGGTCGGAGCCACCATCGTGTCCCCCCTCGCCGGCAGTCCGCCCCACCAGCTCGTCGGCCACCATGTCCTTCTCCCAGCGGCCTCGCCCCTCAGCTCGCACCACCAGCAGCAGCTGCTGCGGGAGCAGCTGGATCAGCAGCAGCAGCAGACGCAGGTCGCGATCGCGCAGGTGCACCTCTTGCGGAATCAGCTGGCGGTGGAGACGGGCGCCCGCATAGAGGCCCAGGTAAACAGTAAACACCACGTACATCGCTGTGTGTGTGTGTGTGTGTGTGTGTGTGTGCGTGCGTGCGTGCGTGCGTGCGTGTGTGTGTGCGTGCGTGTGTGTGTGTGGGTGGGGTGGGTCGGGGGGGTGCATGTCTCCCTTCGACTTCCCCCCGTTTCTCTCTCGTCTTCTACTTCCTCTTTCTTCTCTCTCTCTGCTCACACACAACACACTACTCTCTCTCTCTCTCTGCCTTTACTCCCTTTACCTCTCTCATTTGCGCTCCTTGCTCCATGTCCTTCTTTCTTTCTCCCTCCTCCTCCTATCTTTCTCCTTCCGCATCTCCGTATAACATGTTGTTGGGTTCGCATGTGGCGAGGACGCATTCAGTCTGCATGCCAGAACATAGGCAGCCTGCTGGAGTCACGCCTCAGCAGAATGCTCGATCAGTGCAGAGGCTGGAGCGTAAGCTCTCCGCGAGAAGCCGTCACGCCGGAGACACGTTGGCTACACGAGCGGCTACATCGGCTACGGGTTGAGCGTCGCGTCATACACCCCCCCTCCGTTAATACCCACTCTACATATTAATGATATTCAGGAGTGTAATAATAGAGGGATTCGTCATATCTTTCACTCCTGATTGATAAGTATTATTATACAGGTATATGTATTATACAATAAGTAAATCAAATGTATATTTATTTCATATATACATATATATAATATATGTATATATTTTATAAATTAATTATATATATATGCATGGTTCTCACGCAGTGTTGTACGCTGCGGGTTTACATCTATTATCTCACACTGTGCTGCTCACACATTCCGCCTCGCGCATATATAATATATTGGCTTAGTACATAATCGCCTATATATATATTATATATATATATATATGCTGCCATTCATGTAGGTTCCTTTACTGACTGTGAATCGTAAATCTTACCTATGCTACAGACCTGTGTGTAATATTATATATATGTATGTATACATGCATATATGTGCGTATATATATATATATATATATATATAGCGGTTAACAGCACCTTTATTAATGGACCCCACGGGCCATATTAACACACATACACATGCATCTATATGTACGTGTTCTACGGCTGCAGGCGGTTCCCCGTGCTGACGGACCCTACGGATTGCCGCGCGAGCCGCGGGCCCGTCACCTGCCGGACTACCAGGAGCTGGAGGCTCTGCAGCTGGTGTCACGCGCTGCAGACGCGCGACATGTACGAGAACAACGTCGTCGTCGTCGCCGCCGCCGCCACCGACGGCGACGCGTCGCCGGACAGCGGCACTAAGGAGATGTCGTCGTACAGCCTCGCAAACTCCAACACGGTCTACTCGCCGTGAGAACGACGCGGCCGCCGCGAGAACGAACGGCGGCTGGCAGCGACGGGTCGCCGGCTGGGCTACGGACGACCCGCGCCAGCGGCGCCTTCTCGCGTCGCCGCCTCGACGACGGGAACAGAGCGCGTCGGCGTCGCCGACGCCGAAGATCGACCCGCCGCCGAAGAGTAGGGGGCGCGCACGGTCGCTGCGACGACGGAGGAGATTGCTGAATCGGGCGACGCTAGGCCGCAACGGCGCTCAACGAGCGCCGACACGGAACTACCGCGGGCAGCCCGAGTGCCGCTCATAAGCGTTCGACGACCTGCGCGGGCCTCCGAGTCGGCGCGGCCGCCACGATTGACAACGACAAGAGCCGCCAGGAAGGACTAAATCATGGGAAACGGCGCGACTGGTCCGGCGACCGGCGAGCCGTTCATCAAGCCGTGGGCGCAGGACAACCTAGCGCTAGAGCTACGAGGATTAGCGGCTTCCTTCGCGGATTGAGCCGACAACTCTGAGGATTCGGGCTTGTCGCGCGCCGCGAGCCGGCTCATGGCTTACAGCTAGTGGTCAGATGCACGAATTAGATAGAGGGCGTAGGATGGTAATCAGGTTTGTGGGGTGGTCAAAGCACCGGGAATACGAGGCTGTGGATGGCGATGGATGGATGGTGGATGGTATGGGTCTTGAAATTGAATGGTATGGAGAAATGGCATGGAAATTGGAATGGATGGATGGATGGATGGATGGATGGTTGATGGATGATGGAGGATGGATGATGGGATGGGATATGCGCATGAATAGCTCGGATGGTTTGGATGTATGGCAGAATAAGATGGTTTAGCATGGCACGTGTAGTGGTTCATTTACTATGGATGGTATGGATGGGGTGCCTCATGGAATGGTAATGGAACGTTGGAGATGGATGGGAATGGGTGGATATAGGATGCACTGGCAGAATAGGGTATGGACATATGGTTTAATGGTAATGGGCCTGGATGGAGGATGGATGGATGGATGGATGGATGGGATGGATGTGGATGGATTGGCATGGATTGGAGTGGTTGGATGGAATGGATGGATGGATGCGATGATGGATTGATGGATGGCTATGGATGTGATATGGATAAGGAGGGTGGCCATTTCATGGGGGCAAATGGTATGGACATGAATTCTATGGATGGATGATGGCTAATGAGATGGACACCATTGGATGGATGGATGGATGGATGGATGGATGGATGGTGAACGTGGATGGATGGATGAGGCAACAATGGTATGGATGGTATGGATGGATGGATGGATGGATGATGGATGGGATGGCAGGATGGCATGGTTATGGGTGAATGGCATGGATGGATTGTATTATGGATGGATGGAGTGGATGGATGGATCGGATGGATGGATGGATGGGATGGATGGCATGGATGGTGGATGGCCGTAAGATGGCATGGGAATGAGTTTCATGGGTGGAGATGGCATGGGATGGAGTGGATGGTATAGAGGTTTTTGATGGATGGAATGGATGGATGCTTGATGGGATGGAATGAGCATGGGCAATGGGAATGGTTATGGCGGTTTATGGGGTCATGGATGGATGGTGATGGATGGTATTGGGATGGATGGTGGATGGATGGATGGATGGGATGGGATGGACAATGGTATGGATGAGATGGATGGATGATGGATGGGCGGATGGAGTGGTATGGCAGTGGGCAAGGATGGAATTGCGTATGGACCAAGATGGATGGATATGGATGGGTTGATCAGACTGGGATTTTTTCAATGGAATGTATGGTATGGTAGACTGGATGGATATGTGTATGGATGGTGGCTTTATGGATGGATGGTAGTAATGATTATGGAGAATGGATGGCATGGCTGGATTGGATGGATGATTGGTGGATGGAATGGATGGATGGATGGATGGTATGGGATGGATGGATGGGATGCGAATGTAATGGTGTGATGGATGGATGGAATGGCTCAGGATTGAATGGATGCGTTAAATGGATGGATATTGATGGACGGATGGATGGTATGATGATGGCTGGATGGATGGATGGATGGATGGGTATGGATGGATGGATGGAATGGATGGGACTGGATGGGATGGTTGACTTAATGGTAATGGATGGATGGAATGGATTGGATGGGATGGATGGATGGATGGATGGAATGGTATGGATGGTATGGATGGGATAGGTATGGAATGGAATGGATGGATGGATTGGTATTTAACTTATGAGATGGAATAATTGAGCGATTATATGGCAATGAGATGAATGGAATGAACGGGGACCTAGCTACGCATGAACGGATGGACGGATGGACGGTGGACGGAACTATATGCGCGAGACGGATGGACGGAGTGTGATGTGTAGTGTTCTGTAAGGAACTATGGTCATAGGTGATGTATGGATGAGATGAGATTTCATGGATGAATGGATGATAGTGGGGATGGATGCGATGGGTGGCGATGGAATGGATTGGCCATTGGATATGGTATGGTATGGATTGGATGTCCATCCGCCCACCATCGGTAGGAAGCGATCATGGATGGTAATATTAGTGGACAGAAACGGGAGGAGAGATATGATGAGAGTCGATAAAGAGAAAAAAAGATGTCAAAAGAAGAGTATTCACAAGAGTGGGAGAAGAAGTTATTGAATAATGGGGACAAAGGTAAAGATGGGGATTAAGAAGAAATGGAGATGTGCCAGATATGGGAAAGTTTTTACAAATAATAATAGAGGAGAAATATAGATAGCTAGAGAGAGAGCAGAGAGAGAGAGAGAGAGATGTAGTTGAGAGAGAGAGAGAAGAGATGAGGAGGAGAGAGAGATGAGGTAGAGATGAGAGAGAGGAGTAGATATGATGATTGTATGATTGAGAGAGAGCCTTGACTGATGCCATTCAAATATTTCTCTGTACTCTCTTTCTCTCATCTCTGTCTCTCTCTCTCTCTTCTCTCTCTCTCTCTCTCTCTCTCTCTCTCTTTTCTCTTCCTCTGCTCTTGCTCTCTCTCTTTCTCGCTCTCTCTCTTCTCTCTCTCTCGCTCTCTCGCTCTCTTCTACAGACAAATTGACGGACAGGATCAGCAGGTAGCGGACGATCAGTTAGGACCATATCATCGCAACTGTCATATAATTTCTTTATCCTACAGTAGGATTGTGTCAATGCTAGAGTGCCTGAAATTAGTTCTACGATATGTCCTAATACAAGCCCGCGCTGAAGAAAAGTGACACTTTTCACATGAAAGGGTATCATTCCATACCATTGAGTTTTCCACACTGCTATCCTCTAGCTAGAGCTCCAGGTGGTCGACGTCCTCCATTCTTGCTAGAGAAAGGGTGACATCTTCTGGCAAAGGTTGGAGCCTTTGCTCCGATCCTTCTCTGGAAGTCGCTTTGAAAAGCATGTTGAGGATCCTCGTGTTCTGTGCAACATCCTCGCGCACGTCCTCCAACATCCGGATGAGCTGATCGCTCCACTGCCATTAAAATATGGGAACATCACGCATAATTTATTTCGGCAGTAACTTAAGCGTATAACAGGGCTTGAAACTATTTGGCATTGCTCGCCACTCACTCAAAGCTAGTAGAATGTCTTGGCTGACCAGCCTTTTTCGCGAGTGTCAGTACTCCACAGCTGCTTTTTGCCTCT